CGGCAAGATGATATGAAATGAAAGTCTCAAAATGGTCCAGAAATTCCAGATGATCCTCTCCAATGAATCTAACGTGAACCTAGTCTTGTGGGGAGCATTGCTTCCGTCTAGAGCTTAAGTCTTCAAAGGGTGCAACTGTTTTTTCATCTCATTACCCTCTGAAAACTTTTATCAGGTTTATTCAATAACCAACGGAAAGCGTCAATCGTCTTGCCTTTTTAAACATCGATCGGGGGCTTTTCTTCATCGGTAGTAAAGCGCAGAGACTTCGAACAGGTTTCACTGACCAGTGTTACGTCAGCCGTGTTTTTTAGTGGCGACGTCAATTACAAGCGCAGATCCTTCATTAAGCAACCAAGGCCCTACCAAGGGAAGGTTTTGGGGGAACTATTCGATCAGTTCCGCGGATCATAGCCCTATTATTAGACTAGTTAATAAAAACTGTGGAACCATACAAACATTGCATAACAATAATCGTCCTCTGTGGCTACCACTGAAATAAATACGGTAATGGGATGAAGGAAGGCTGCTGATAGGCTCAGGTGATCTGCTGGTTGCCTTTTCCTTCCTGTGTACCTACCGAGACTTCTCCCCTTCCCCCGGTTCAACTAGTCAACAGGGTAGATCGCTCGAAACAAGGTACTCACAAAGCCCATCACAAGTGCAACCTATAGTTGCGTGCGTCGTGGCGCAGGTCCAGTGCTTTTATAATAACTATCAACACTGAGCTATTAATTGCATCTTTGAAAAATTGCCAAAAAATTTATTGATTGGAAGCATTATATTACATATAATTTTCATGGTACATGTTTTACAACTTACACAGCTCAAATTGAAAAGTAGTAGGTGCCAGAAAGAATTATTTAACATCAATTGACCAGCGTCCGTGTGACTATGCTCGAAGGGGAATGGACGCAAGCGGTAAGCAACTAGACAAGCACCCTGCATTGAAAGCTCATCAATAACATTAAGCTGCCAAGTGCAGAAATCAATAAATCAATATATTGCCGCGAAGCTGATAAATTACGCATATTGTTTTCAATAATTACTGACTTTACTAGATAAATTAAAACCTAGACCTGTCTAATCATATCACATTTGGGCAAATCATTAGTGGCTGTTGAGGACCAGATATTACAGGTGTTACTCCTCATATCTAAAGAATCAAAACGATGCGAATTAAAATGAATATATTTTACGAGCCAGTTATTCATGATTGGCGAAATTGACTCTATCTATTCATCAGGCTCATCTGACGATTCTAGTGGTACGTCTAAAGAAGTTGGCCGCATAGAATCTCCACAGAGACGAAAGTCAGACGATTAGAGAGCCCTTCGGCTAGCGACCTTCTCATCAACGATCTACCAAATATGAGCCTTTGCAAAGCTTTCGGAATCGTCGTGCGATGATCGAAAATCTGCAAGTCGCAACATAATTCATCAACATCGAATGAAAAACAGAAAGATACAAATAGATAAATTGCGTCAATTAATCACCTGTAATTTCCTCAACACTTCATCGATTACAGGTGGATTCCATCGAAATCGGTCAATGAATCTGATTTTCGGATCTACTGCCCATTTTTCGCAAAGATATCGTCGCTTGTCCGTCTTCACAGGGTTCTCAACAGGGAGCGGAGAGTCCTAAATCAAGACTCGGATAAAAACAAAGGTGACTAGAGGCGAGGCTAAGGGTGCCAACTAGGTCACTCAAGGCATCCATTCAGAATAATTAAAGGCATATTCGCCATTTAATAGGTGTAGATTATAGCGTCCACAAATGAATCTGTGGAATTTCGTGTCGTCCAGTCGTAAAAAATAATAAGTAAAACTGCTGAGAACCCTTGAAATCACTCTGCACGTCATCGTTGTGGGTGAAATCCCGTCCCACCCTTACATTCTCATTAGTTCGTACTTCATATCGATATGGAAAAAATACAAGAAAGCCAATGACAAGGTAGCAGTAGGTACTGGATCACTGACTATTAAAACGCAAAACGTACCTTCAAAAGCGCTAAAAAGCAGGACTATCCTGAAGGCAATATTTACCCACATTAAGTGACCAGTACGATGGTAATATAAAGCAATGCTACTACATAATTTAAGAAGCACAATTAGTAAGGTGCACCCTCCGAGGTTACACCATAGCCTAAACGCTCGAATGTATATTCCAAGAATGGGATGAGCAGACAAGTGTGTCACCACAAGTGTCACCACGTAGTGCCACTTTGACTCTATAGCGCATAGCAGAGGTGCCATGGCGCAACTATTTCGGGCTCTAGTGTTCCGCGCTGGGTCCGTGCCTGCGTCTTCCTCTTTCTGCGTACTATCTCGGCTGTGACCGTACTCCCTCGCCTTTACCTTGGCCTCAACTAAGAGCAGATCACCGACCAAGAAAGGGGGACCTCGATTTCCATTACTCATTTATGTGCCAAAGGAAGAGCTGTGACGCTGAGAAAGCTCGAAAGGAAGCAGAAGCAGAACCGCTAAAATATGGTAGAAGTATATGAGTGAAACGACTGACTATGACTCATCCTTAATTGAGAGGAGTATAGAATTAAGTCTCCATATTGAACAAAATGCGTAAATTACAAGAAAATAACATCTGCACGAATCATCATTTAGTCCAGAACAGACCACATGAAGAAGTGGAAGAAAGACAAAGATAAGGGAAGTAAAGCGCTCACCGAGACTTGCATGTAACTTTTCAGCAATTCAGGCAGGAAGCTGACTTGAGCGTTGAAGTCTGTCTGAACACAAACTGCGTCCAAGAAGTCACATACAAACGTCGAGTGCACCTGAATAAATAAAAATTCAGTTAGACGGAACAACTTTTCGAGCGGGTACAGTAGAACCCATTCGCGCTCTCACTGAACCGTCACAAAGCCGCACGACGACGTTTATCGGATCAATGCTGCATCATTTTTGCTTAGTTTCACGCACGTCAAGCCACGTGGATAGCGCTCTGTATTTGATGAAGAATCTAAATGTATTCTGAGAAACATACCTCTGCGTCGTTCATCCTCATCAAACTCGACCACATCACATTCGTTCATCTGATCAGACACCAATACTGCTTCCAGTGCTGGAAACTGGAACAGCTCCAAAACGCTATGTTGTCCTCGCGATGACGTTGCTGTTCCCTTAAGGTAGCTCCACATTACGTCTCGTTCACCAAGCTATTGAATTTATTAGAGATAAAGGAAAAAACAAACTTCATTGTGAACAGCAGCTCCAATCTGCTTCAGTACATCACCAATCAAATAATCAAGGCTGGTCGAAATCGAGGCATTCTGACGCATCACGGTATTCCGATTTTGCTAAAACAAGTTCTTTTAAAAATTATTCGATAATTTCTCGTGATTCGATCTGCCAGATATCTGTCATATTATGAATTCATGTCACTTTCGAAAAAATCGAGGGGATTTGAAGAAGCGCCAATATTCGGCGGCATAAACGGCTTTTATAGAAATCGACCAGCTTCACGGGTAAAGAAGGCTTGTTCGGCTTGCACAACTCTGACCCGCAATTTAATTCCCGAACTACACAACGGAGCGGAGCTACCAGTCGTTGTTTTCTTCCCATAAACAAAACAGGAGTCATGAAAGTCAAATCAAACTCAAAATATGAAACCATAAGCATAAATCAACATAAATCAAAAAAGTAAGGCCAGGAGCTCACCTCGTCGATCCGACACACTCGTAGCCAGTCCTCAAGCCCAGCTCATATTTGGCACCTCAACAGGATTGTTTGGTGCTGTTCGCCTCGCATCTTGCGGTCCCAAACGGATTATTAGCTTCTGCCGCAAGGCTACTCCTGAACCATGAATTATAGTGATCCAGGAGCTGCTTGACAGTTCCTCATATAGAAACTCTATAAAACCAACCAATCACATCATCGTCCTTGTCGATGTATGAAAACTTTGCCTCGGGCGTAAAGATAATTCCTGGACGGCGTAAATGGAAAAGAGCCCAGCTGAAACATTTCCGAATAATAATCTTGGACTATGGGCATGCTAATTCCTGTGTATAAAAATACTTTTTGCTTGAAATCAACCAACAAATCTGATATCAATAGATGATCAAATTATTGACTTTCGAATCATGAGCCATTTGAATTCGACTCAAAGCTTTGAACCTCTTCGAAGGCAGAGATTTCGATAGGTTTTGGAGTGGTTCAGAGGAGATGCTCAATGTTACGCCAATGCGAAACGTTTGCGAAATGGCAACTTGTTTGGTGACACCACCAACCCATGCTCCAGTCGAGTTGCTCCATTGTGCCGCTGCTGGCAACGCAGCTCGTCCAAATCACCAACTAAACTAGTGGGCGGATCGCTTTGGGGCGGAGTGCTTTCGAAGTCCTGCTCAGCAACCAGCGCACCTTTCGTCGTGAAAGCGCCACACCTCGCTTCCTTGGCAGCCAAGTAACTGCTTCGTGTGGTGCATATACTTCCCCGATGCGGTCTCTCCTTACCGTAATTGCTTTCTTTAAACGGCTACACGTAACTACACGGTACAATTTTGAAAAGGAGCTTGAGCTGCGGTATATACTTAACATTCCAGTAATACAAACAACAACTAGAATATTAATGAGTAAAGATAACTGCTACGGCGAGATAACACCCACAATATCTAACTCTGCTCGCGAGATCCATAATGTCAACTTTCAGGAAATGATAGCAGCTTTGAAAGTTTAAAGATCCCACAAGCCGCCCGTCAGGCCGAATGCATGTTCGAACACTATTGAAATTAGATAGAAGCCGAAAGCATGGCGTACACCAAAATGAGTGGGCAGTGCCAAACACATTAGCTTTTTATCTTTACCCATAACCTTACCTGTGTGCATTCATCTCTCCATGCATACATGCCAGCGATAGACGGCCTGCTTCTAAGCCTACAAATCCGCCCACTACTGTCTCTCCATGCTTCGGTATTGGCAGAATCTTCTGCTTGAATTGAATCTGAGTGATTGTGTCCAGTACCTAAACATACAGTGTTTCTTCCAGCGGTAGAAAATGACACAGTTGGGGACGGAGATAATAATTTTTCAGCAGGAGTCCACACCTTTTGCCAAATCTTTGTCGCCGATGTCGTTGTCTCAGCAGTGCCCGCCTGCTCTTTGGAATTCGCCGCTGCCGAGCTGTCCTCCTGTATACCCCACACCATTTTCGAGCTCTTTAGCTGCTCCTGAACAACATTAAGGCTTGAAAGGCTTAAGGGGTTCAGTTTGAGCGGGCTAACAACACTGACCTCAAAGAAGGTTTTCAACTTGTTGATAATCTTCTGAATATCGTCCACTGTACATCGAGTGATCACCAACTGCAGGTCCTCCCACGATCCTTTCACATTCAGTCGTACGCATGCACGAATGTACTGAAACTTATGGGCACTCGAAATGAAAACAAGGGTAGCGCCACACCTCACAATGAACTATAAATGGGGGAAACTGATCAAAATGGGGTCCTGACCTCTCCTTCATCATCCCTTTCCCTGGAGAACTCATCTCCGAGCGATATAGCCGGCTTTTCACATCGACCAATCAGCACTGCTCGGCTCATCCATTCCACTCGTGCTGCCAGCCAACGCAGTTGGATCTTAGCTCCATTCCGTGGTGGCTGCTGAAAAACACGATTGTTTTTCACATTATAAGTCCTGATTTTTATCTTCACTCACATTCACATTACGCTTATGCGATGCGGACAACAAAAGCCGACTGAGTGCGAATTTCTCCGCTTATCGCTCCACCATGTGCTGTCAGCTCACTCGAATCGAGTTTGAAGGTCAGAGTTACATTGCGCTCAGATCGAGAATTCAGCTGGAAAGAGCTCCGAAATGCGGCTAAGTCCATCTTATATTCCATCCTTCATTTTCTCAAACAAACGGCTCCTGATAATCGAAACTTTCGAGAAAAACACGAACCTTGGCGATAGCACGCAGTAACCCACGCCGGGCTCTCCATGACGTATTACCCATGGTGTTCGACATTTGGGCATTCACATTCAGCTCTTTCCACTGAACTGCCAGCAGAACTGTGGCCGACCACGCTTTGTCAGGTCCTCACGTTGACCGGTCTGGAACATCGCACAAATAATTAACAACGAGTCTGAAGGGTAAGCATCAAGCAACCCTTAGGTAAAGTTTAAAAAATCCTGTGAAAAGGCACATTCAATGGCCAAGAGGTAGGAGTTGCCGTTAGTGTTCAACCTTTCTACATAGTCTTACCTGGTCGCTACTAATGGGTGACTAGCGATAGTGCTTGGTGGGTGGCTCGTTGTATCGTGTGCAGCCGCCTGATCACCAAAGAACACTCGACGAGCGATTGCAGCACGATACCAAGGCTTCGGAAAAGCCATCAGTTCACTCAGACGTCGCATATCGTAGTTGAAATTCGCCGCACCAATGTTTGACGTGAGAACGAACTAAAACTTGAATGATAGAAGAGTAGAAGAGCCACTGTTGCCTGCATGAAGTGTTGGCAGTGGCTAGCAGGTCACTGCGCGACGTCGCGAGTTCATCGTAAGCCTGGCGCGCAGCAAGGAATTGGAGACGCAGCGAAAATTCTCTGCCCTGCCCTCCCTCGTGTCTACCCTGTCTTCACCATTTCAATCTATTTTTTTGAATTGGCGTTAGCATAGGCGCAAAAACTCGTCCGCTGGCCTCTCTGCGTCTCCTGCCCTTCCCGTGCGGTTAACCCATCGTACCGCGTGCTGCACATGGAGCCTTCCGCAGGCACATCCACGGGCTGCTTGAACTCGGCCCTCCAAAAAAATTTTGCTCACGAATGCGCTGTTTAAATAGCAGCTCATGACCATAATGGCCACGCACGCTCAAACTTCGGCCACACGGGAAGTTGTCGGGCACCTCTCCCTGCTCATAACCCTCCCCATCCCCACTCACGTATCTCTCGCTTGGACCGTAAGAAGTGCGGTAGGCACCGTTTCCTAATCGTCTCCGTTCTACCCCTTCTCAACAGAGAACATGGAGGA